CTACCTCAGCCTGTAGAGAAACACCTTCAGGTGAGAGGGGGAGAGGGAGGTGCTGAGTTTACAATGGAGAGAGAGTGGGAAGGGAAGGGCTGTGATGTTTTGTGGGGTGTCATATGATTGCGGTATATGATGCCGTTGGAAGCTGTATGACACAGCTGAGTCATGTTCAGTTTATGTCTACAGCCCTTAGGTGTTGTGTCGTGTGCCGTTTATTTTCGCGCTGTGCAGCCGCTCGTTGGTCTTGCACCAACAGTTTAACGACAGAAGGTGTTCATTTGATACCGGGCCCAGCACATCGTTACTTTTACTGATGGCAGTAGGCCCTGCAAACTGCCCTGTTGCCACGCCGGCCCAAACTATTCATAATTCATTACGTCGTCCCCACAATCATCGCCGTGTCACTGACCACCCCGCTCCGTGTCGTCAGGTTTAACGACCGCACGTCGTGTCCGGCGGGCGCGGTGGCGGCACCCCAGACACCGCCGTCGCCGGCCGCCGGCGGGCCGGAGAAGGCGTCCACGCTGCCGCGTCACCTGTACCCGCCCGGCTCACCGCGCCGGCCCGCCGCCGACCTGCAGACCTCCGACGACTACGTGCTGTACAGCGCGCTGCAGCCGGGCCGGCCGGCACCCGCCGGGGCCGGGGCCGCCGGGGCCGCCGGGCCCACCCCCACCCACCACCAGCACTTCCACAACCACTCGAGCGGCCACTACGCCGGCCTGAACAACAACCCGCCGGCGGCCGGGCGGCGGCCGCGCCGGCCCGACGACGAGGCCGGCGACCACTCGTCCGGCGAGCTGGAGCACAACGGCAAGGGCTCGCAGATCTCCATCTCCCAGCTGAGCAACGTGGCCTCGAGCGGCTACCAGAGCTTCGCATACAGCCAGAGCTCGAGTCCAGTGGACCCGGCCATCAGCGGCCAGCAGCTGCAGCAGCGGCAGCGCCAGCGGCAGCAGCAGCTGCAGCACACGCCGCTCGCCTTCAACAACCCCATGTACCAGCTGAAGGCCGCCAACGGACAGCTGAGGAACGCCAGGTATGTACCCCGCGTGTGTCACTTACGGACCATCAGTCGGTTCGTCCATCCGTCTATCCTATCCGTTATTGTGTCGGTCCTTCCTGCTCGTCTTTTTCCATTCTCCTCTGCTCCGTTGTCCTTTCTGTCAGTCATTCGTACCTTGGGAGTCTGTTTTTCTGTCTGCTGTTCTGTTTCTGTCTGTCCGTCCTTCCTTCCTCCCTCCTGTCCGTTCCGATCAGTCCATGTTATGGTGACGGCGGTGCCTTCTGTTGGCGCTGACACGTCTCACGCTGTATCCCCGGGTACGCTGCCGGCTGCCAGCTGGCGGTCTTCTATCGCCCCCCCCCCCGTCCCCCTCCATCAGAGGTGCTGGCAGTCGCCCAGCGGTGTGAACAGTCGCCCACTCGGCTGACAGCGAGACCAATTTGTAACGCGAATCACTCGGGGATGATTGAGGGAGCGCACACAGCAATTGGGCCAAGGATTTTAGACGGAACAGAAAAATTAGGTACCGCCGCATTGGTGATTGAGGGATGCCAGAGGTCGGCCCGAGTGGAGTTGTGATGGTTGTTTGGTGATCTGTCATTTGTCACAGTAAGATGACGCGAAGAGTTTATTTTGAATTATATTTGTCGGCATTTCTACAGGCTCGTGATGTTCACCATGACCGTAGTCTATTGAACCATGCTTGGTGGTCTTTTTTTCCCGTGGTGGCTCTGGAATCTGACCTCCGCGTCTCCTCCCTAGGTCAGCCAAGTACTCGCCGAGCAGTTCGCTGAGCTCGTCGCAGAGTATGGAGGACGTCCAGCTGGTGATGTCGCCCTCGGTGGTGGCGCCGGCCGAGCGCGCCGCGCCGCCGCGCTCCTCCAGCAGCTCGCCCTCGCCGCCGCGCGAGCGCCGCCACGCGGGCGTGCCGCGCACCAACCCGCGGGCTGCGCCGCCGCCGCCGCCGGCGCCCGGCTCGCCGGAGCCGTACGGCCGGCAGCGCCGCGCCAAGGCCGCCCGGCGCACCTCGACTGAGGTGCTGGCCACCAGGCGGCAGCACGCGTGCGACAGCGACAGCGAGAGCAGTGACGAGGTGCGGCCCGGCCGCGAGACGCGACTCAAGAGCAAGGCGCGCCGCAGCCGCGTCCCAGAGAAATCCTTTGAGGAGGTGAGTTTGGTGATGCTGGCAGTTTGCCTTTTCAATGGCGAAGCAGATAGCTGACCCCTGCTGGTTTATCTCCTGCAAGGTGTTGAATTTAGCACAACATTCAGAATGTCAGAAGAGGATTCAGCCATGCTTGTATCCTGGGCGTACTGTTTCGGGTCATGCAATGCTAATAAGCACGCCGCCCCCCCCCCCCCCTCTGCCGTGTCTCGGGCGCCCGCTCATGTGCCGCTCTGTATCATAGCCGCTCTCTCCCGGTCCGACAGTACGAGGACGAGATCCACCAGCTGCACCAGCAGATGGAGCAGCTGCACAGCCGGCTCAACGAGGCGTCCCGCAAGTCGTCCACGGCGCACACCTGTCCGGCGGCGCCCACCCCCGGCCAGGTCACCGAGATCCTCAACAGGTCAGTGGGAGGCGCGCAGCGGCGCAGCGGCGGGGGTAGCCATCGCGTGGGCAGGGAGGGCGAGAAGGGTGCCACGTCAGTGGTGTTTGTGTGAGGCGTAGTGTGTAGGGTGATATTCTTTCCTTGCTTTCTTTATTGATATTCATGCTTGCTGAATGTGTGCTTGAGCACGAATTCGATACACTTTTCCTGCAACGGAACATGTCTTGACTGATGAAAGCCTGAACCTATTTCGTCAATAACTGTGGCTTTCCTTGCTGACTCACGGCACCCTGCGGCACGCGATACCCCTTTCCATGGCGCCGTGCACCGTCTCACCTCCCTCGTCTCTCCCCCCATAGGCTGTCGCTGGTGAAGTCAGTCCCTTCTCCCACACCCCTCGCGCCGTACACCGTCTGACCTCCCCCCGTTTCCCCCTATAGGCTGTCGCTGGTGGAGAACGAGCTGCGGAAGGAGCAGAGCCAGCTAACCAGCGTGCTGACACAGAAGGAGCGACTGATCGAGGCCCAGCACCAGCGCATCCAGGAGCTGAACGCCGCTAACAATCAGCTGCACAGCGCGCTGGCCTCGCTCCAGGACCGGTGAGTTCACAGACACACTGATCATCTCATCAGCTGCCAACGATTCTGTGTTGGTGCGAACTGAACGCTGTCGGTAATGGCGTGTACGGTGTGTACTGTGCTGTGTGGTGGCCCGTTTGGTAGGTGGAGTTTGCGGTTTTTCGTTGTTATTTGCAGTTAGCAGCATTTGGCCTCACGCGCAGGTTCATGAAATGCGTGACTATCGGATATCTCCTAATTTTAGCTTCTGGGAACGAGAGTGGTCTTACTTTTCTGGGGTATGCACCTGTCTGATTATGAAAAGAAGACGACTGATTGATGTCATAACTCATTTTTCATCGTTATACTCTTTGTGGTTATCAGTAATCGGATATAGTTCGATTTAATCACAGAAATTGTTTCGAAATCTCTGTAGTTAATTATGTTTGGTTTCGATGCCGGCCGATCGGCGGGCTGCGGTTCACCAGCTGTAGATAGCCGGCATCCCTGGCAGTCGGCGCTAACAAGGCTATCGAACTGGCCACCGCTTTGACGTCAATACGGGCCACTAGCAAAACAAGATTATCAGATAATGTGGCCGGCAAGACAGGTGTCCGAACGGTGCGCCGAGCCGGGGCATTTTTAACCCGCCGCGCCTCGTTGACCGCTCGCGTTCCTGGCATAGCTGGTGGGCGCTCGGCGGCCTAAAATACGTCCCGACTGCAGATTGGCTGTGAGTTGTGCCGTCCGCTGTCGTATGTCTTCGGATTAGGATCGGTCCAACGAGCTCCATTCGTCATGACTACGCAGTCCGCTGAGCGCCGTCTGGCTCGCCGAAAGGGTCAGTGGCGCCGGCAGCTGCTGCGTGGTCGGAGCTGTGGATTTACGTTTGTCGGTTATGGACCAAATGATCCGTTACGTTTGTCCGATATGCACCGGCCGTTCCTCCGTGTCTCGTACAGTAAAACTGACATCCCTCTCTCCACCCCCAGGTCGCTGCCGCTGTGCGCGCCGCGGTCGCCGGCCGTGTCTGGCAGCGGAGCCGCCGTCTCCGACACGTCCGACTACAAGAGCAGCTCGTGCTAGGCCGCCCCGAGTCGGCCGACCGTTCCCCGTTAGACCAAAGATGTTGCGCTGCGCGGCGGAGCGCCGCCCGACGGCCCAGTATTATCAGCCGCTGCCGCCGGCCCCTCCGTGTCGCTCGTGTCGCCGGCAAGCAGCCGCCTTCGAGTCATTAGTTGTTCAGTCACGAGCGCTTTTGTCCACAACGAATCGCATCGATGTTCTCTGTCATTCGCGCGCCGCCGCCTCGACTAGAGGCGGCCGGTCTGCGTGACCGTTTTGTCCGCTTGTTTGTGTGCGCGTGAGTCGTGTGAGGTTGGTTCGTGTCGCCGTCTGCGCGCGCGCCGGCGCTGCGCTGGAGAGAGTGCGACCTTTGTGATGTTCTCATTGTGCAATGCCCCATCACGGCGTATTTATTCGAGTGTGTTCTGCCGGGCGCCCACGGCGCCGCCGCTGCGCGCGCTGGCCCGCCGACCGGCGCTCTATGAGAGGGCCGCGCGCTGTGCGTGAGGCCCAGCGGTATGGCCGAGTCTCGGCGGAGCTGCAGTAATAAACCTGTGTACTCAGTGTGATCGGCGCCTTTCACTCACGACCTGCTGCCGCTCGGTCACGGTCAGGGTCAGGGGCGGTTCGTGAGCCGCGCGGACGGAGGGAGTCCGGAGTCGGCACACAGAGCACCACATGGCCGGCGCGGCGGCCGTCCGGCCTTCGCGGCGCATCTGGTCGCGGCCGCCGCACGCCACGGCCTTGTCTGCCGGGCGACCGCTTTCGCTGCGTGCGCAGCGCAGCGGCCTTCTCTGTGCCGCCCTGTGAACCGGCACCGCGCGCGTTGCCTCATCATGTATTGCACACACACATACAGACAGCGCGCGGCGGGCGGCACAATGGGAGTCTCGCGCCTCGGCGTGCCTGCAGCCGTCAACCGGGCACACCTGACCGACTAACTCCACCAAAAACTGGCTGCGGGAAGTACGACCGGCGAACGCAGCGTGCCTGGAAGGTCGCGCCGGGGAGGCGCAGTTTTTGTGTATGTGTGTCAACACGTTACCAACAGCTCCGATGGAACGGATCTGGATCGGGATATCTCGGCTGGGCGCGACACGTCTCAGCAAGCTGTCGCTGGGGTGCGATTGAACTATGGATTGAACATCGTGGGTACATTTGACATTCAGAACACTACGAGGCATCGTTTTTTCGGTTCAGCGCATGCAAACCAGCGAGCTATGCAACATCACAGACTGATGAATCATACATTGAAACAAAGTGTGCTAACACCCAGAATCTCCGTCCGCCTATCACTCTCCGCCGCCCAACTGTAGGCCACGGCCCATGTCTCACATAGTCACGCGACAGATAAACGACTTGACTAAGCTCACAGCAGCTATCAGCTCTGCAACGAACTCTACGTGAAACGTGCACCCGATGAACTCGTTGCGCACCCAGCTCACGCAATGTGAACCCAATCGACCTCAATCTCACTCCATTCTAAATTCTAGTTCTCCACAAACCGGCATAAGGCGTCCTATTTCGACGTTCTTTTATCAAGATCCTCCCTTTCCTATACGATCGCCATCATCCTGAACAAAGCTCGAGCTCCTCACGGTTCTCGCTGCTCCGCACTCATCCGTTGTTTCTACAGACTCTACTGCCTCTTTCGTTCCTCCCAGCTCACTAAGTATGCGTTCATCGTGATTCTCCTTTCGTTGCTCTCTGATCACTGTTGTTCATCTCATTCACTGTTTGAGTTTAATGGGTCCCGCGTTCCCCATTCTTCGCGTTCTATCAATCAACGCTTCTCCAACATTCCTGTGCTCCTCACAGATCTTGCTTTATCGTTCATTCTTCCTTTTTCCCATTCCTCGTGTTCATTACAGCATTCGATTTCGCTGTTCCCCTCGGCCGTCTCGTTTTTCCGTTCCTCGCATTGCCAGCACTCCCCATGTCCTCCCTTTCCTCCAGGCTCTCATTTACAAGTTCCTCAGCCTCCTTGCCGTTCCTGCAGTTCCTCGATGTTCCCGGTTCCTCCGGTTCCTCGCGTTCCTCCCGCCCTGCCGTCCTCCGACCCTGCCGCCGCTCAGGGTCGGGTATTCCTCAGACCCCTCGCCACAGTCAGGAAGCCCCAGCGTCGCTTCTCACCGGGCGGGGGCGCCATCATGGCTGTCACCTCCCCGGTCTTTTTGCTGCAGTGGCAGACATGACAGCCGCTCTCGTCCAGCCTGCTGTCACACTCGTCCGGACAGCTGCCCTGGTAGCAGGCCGGGTCGCGGCTCTGGCTGACAGGGGTCAGAGCGGCGGCGCCCGGGGCGGGGTCGGCGCCGGCGGCGGCCGTCTCGGCCACTGGTCGGGCCGGCGCGTTACGCAGGCAGGCCAGGTGGGCGCACACCACGTGGTTATTGCTCTGGCAGCGGCACTCGTTGCAGTTCTCCATCCAGACGGCTCCCAGCTCACAGCGGAACTGGACGGGCGCTGCGGAGAAACCCAGAGGTCACAGAGCTGGTCAGGGTACGGGCGGCACGGGATGCGGCGGGGCCATACTGGGAGATAGACGGACCCGATAGGGCCACAGACGGGAATATAAAGCCGGGTCGTCCCGCCCTCAGGGGCGGATCCAGGAAAACTCCAAGGGGAGGGTCATGAATCGAAGTGGTGCCCCTACCTATACCCAAAATTAAAAACTCAACGGATTTCGTCCACTTCATTTTGGTGGTGCCCCCATTTTCAGTTTTTTTTATATTTTTTATTTTTAGTCAGTATCTTAACTCTTAGCCACAACCACATTTACCAATTGTAAGCAAGTATATATGAATGTGCTATGTGTATATGTGTATATGTTGTGGACGCTGAGTAGTGAGTACTTACCAGGAACGTTATCAGGTAAGCAAATCGTTGTCAGTCCGACGAACTTGACACTGGCGTCTAAGGGTCTGTCCTTGACACTTCAGGCTTGTCAGGGGCACCAAAGTCCTTCCAGGGACACCACAAACCTGTCAGGGGCACCTATGGCCTTGTAGGGGCGCCACAGGCCCGCCAGGAAGCAGGGGCGCCACAGGCCCGCCAGGAAGCAGGGGCACCACAGGCCTAGCAAGGACACTACAGGCCTGTCAGGGGCACACCGGGCCTGTTGGGCCCATGAGCACCCCTAGGGGCAGGGGCACCACAGTCCTTCCAGGGGCACCGCAGGCCTGTGAGGGGCACCAGCGGCCTAGCAGGGGCACCACTGGTCTATCAGGGGCACCACGAGCCTGTCATAGCCAGGCATCTCAGGCTTGTCAAGGCCCAGGGGCACCACAGGTCTGTGAGGGGCACCAGCGACCTAGCAGGGGCACCAGTCAACACAGGTCTGCCAGGGGCGCCACAGACCTGCCAGGGGCACCACAGACCTGCCAGGGGCACCAGAGGGCTGCCAGGGGCACCACCGGCCTTGCAGGGGCACCTTGGGCCTGTCAGGGGCACCACGGGCCTGCCGAGGGGCACTTCAGACTTTTCAGGGGCACCAGTCCTCTCCGGGCGCAGGGGCACCAGAGGCCTGCCAGGGGCACCAGCGGCCTAGCAAGGGCACCAGAGGCCTGCCAGGGGCACCACAGGCCTAACAAGGGCACCACGGGCCTGTCAGGGGCACCTCAGGCTTGTCAGGGCCCAGGGACACCACAGTCCTTCCAAGGGCACCGCAAGCCTGTCAGGGGCACCAGAGGCCTGCCAGGGGCACCACAGGCCTAGCAAGGGCACCACTGGCCTGTCAGGGGCACCTCAGGCTTGTCAGGGCCCAGGGGCACCACAGTCCTTCCAGGGGCATTACAAGCCTGTCAGGGGCACCAGAGGCCTAGCAAGGGCACCACAGGCCTGCCATGGACACCACAGGCCTGCCAGGGGCACCACCGGCCTTGCAGGGGCGCCTCAGGCCTGTCAGGGGCACCACGTGCCTGCCGGGGACACTTCAGGCTTGTCAGGGGCGTTACAGTCCTGTCAGGGCCCAGGGGCACCAGGCCCGTGGTGTCCCTGCTAGGCCTGTGGTGCCCCTGGCGGTCCTGTGGTGCCCCTGTCAGGACTGTGATACCCCTGATAGGCCGGTGGTGCCCCTGGCAGGTCTTTGGGCCCCCGGGCCTCAAGGGGGGGGGGGCCATGACCCATGTGACCCCCCCTTGGATCCGCCCCTGCCCGCCCTAATTGGGAGCGTGACGCCGCGTCGGTTCTGGGTACCCCGTGCGGTGGAGTTATCGACCATATTCACGCAGTGTATGGTACGAAGAAGCTCTAACGTAATATTCCTTTATGCGTTAGCGATTCTCGTTAGCTGGCCTACTGGAAAAGCCATTTGACAGCGGGGCAGACCGAGGTCAGGAGCCCGAGCGTGCAGAGATTGAGGATCCGGCCCGAGTCCGTGCGTCTGCCGGCGCCGTGAACCCTGGGAAGACCGTGTCGCCTGTGCCGGTCAGTGCTGGGCCCAGGCCGCCGCCGCCTGCAGTGGTCGACCCTGGATGGGTGGGCGGGCCGGCCGGCCGGCGCGGCGGGGGCGTGTCCGTCTCGGCGGGGGTGACCCTGAACGGAGCCGACTGCGTGGCGCCGCCCCGACACGCACTTCCCAGTTCCCGTCACCGCTCTGCGCGGCCAGGGAGGGGAGGGGGGGAGGGCAGATGGATCGAGTTACCCCCGGGGTCTGGCCGAGTCATACACATACACCACCGAGTCTCCTGCTTCGTCAGCCGACTGCGAGATATGTGAAATGATAGAGATTACCACCGCTTCCTTGCAAACGACCCTTCTTTGGTTACTGGAAGAGCGGGGCGGTTATGGACAAGAGTAGGCATGACCGGTTTGATGATAAATCTAGATAATAAAAGCGCATATCAAATCGTGCCCTTCTGTAAACAATGTAAATGCATAATATATACCTACGTGTGACGTTTTGTTGCTATTCGTTACCAGCTACATTCAACCTGAGTTTTTATTAACCTTTAGCCCTCCTAAAATACGATATGGGATGACCTCAAATGAATTCGTGGTGCGGTGAAATTAATTCTGTCCTACCATACCCCGCTCGCTCGTGTAACATGTCATGACCGTCCATCAACAAACATTAGACGCCATATTCTGCTCCCATTAATAATGAGCCACAACTGAGTCGCAACTGACTGCCGCTGAGGATAAACTCATATAGTTAGACACTATAACTTAGCGCCTCTGACAGGTATAAACAAAGAATGACTCAGGCGGCAGTGAGTCAGCTGACAGCTCGGTATAGGAGACGGGGACGAGTGACTCACATCACCTGCTGGGCCACTTAGTCTCGCTTGGACGGCTTTATTTGCAGCCCTAAAACACACAGACCACTGGCCGCTTTGTTAGTGCCCTGCGCCCCTCCTCCCCCTTACCACCTTCAGTGTCATGGGCGCCTCCCTCACTGCCCCTGCCCGCCCGCCCGCGAGGCCACCCGTTTCGCAAGCGCGGAGTTTCCCCGCGCCACAGGCGGCGGCTGAATGGCCAAGTGACTTACCGATTATTTTTCGCAGGCCGTGACTCAGCGGGCCGGGTTGGAAGGCTACAGATTAGCGGCGTCACCGAGCGACAAGGCCTCGCCCCAACCGGCGCGAAATCGCCGCACAAAAAGGAGGACACGGGCATTATACTAGTGAGTTGTCGTGTGGGAGGATGCTGTTTTTTTATTGCGGAGTGGCTATATTAGAAGCATTTTCAACTGGTGAGGTTTTATTTAACAATTTATCACCCAGAATTTTACCAATAGGTACGCGGGTAGGCATACGGAAGACAAGTCTTTATTTTATCGGTACATTTATCCCTCGCTCGTATAGGGGGGTCGAACGGGCCCCCAGGTTTTTCGCAAATAACTCGCGTAAAAAGCGGCCGATCGCGACGAAACTTTCAGTACTCTCGCGTTATTCATTTTTACACCTACAATGAAAATGTCATGACTTTTGACCCTAATGACCTTTGACCTGTGACCTACTTTTTGAGACCATGTTTGGCCAAAATCGTGACTCGGCGTAGGTATGTCGCTCGCATTAGCCGCGCGTTTGGAGTCTTTTCGTGGTTTCGAGCGTTCAAACATGGGATGTGATGTTGCTCTCATTAGTCATTCATTAGGGTGAGTGTCAAAGTCACCTGAAGGTCAGGTCACTGACCTTTGATCATTGATGACCTCGGTTCACTTTTTCCAGATTTAAATGTTTCTAGGCCACTTTTGGAGCTGAATTCGAATTTAGCAACCGTTTGAACATTTACGAAGCAGTTTTGGTGCATTCGTAACATGTGACGACGCCATGAGAGGTGGTTGACACCTACTACGACTACCCGGCAAAACCCCTACTGGTGGACCTGACCTGACCTGACCCGACCTGGTCTAAATGAATGAAGACATCATCTGTGATCAAAACTAACCCTCGCCCTGGCAGGGCATTTTTCATAACACGGCCTGGCAGGGGGGGGGGGGTCGATGCGACCCCCCCTCGCGATTGGCTCCTATGGCACCTAGAAGCACCAAATTTGGTAGGTAGGTGGGCCCCCCGGAGTTCTCGCCCCTGTGCAAATTTGGTTGCTCTAGGTCAATATTTAGGGGGGTTTTGGGGGGTACTAGGTCGTTCAATAAGTAAGGTAAAATCACTCGTATTTCAGTCAACCTTTGGTGCAATGACACAAAACTAGCCACATATGTTCATTGAAATCCGTCTACAAAGTGGCTATAAGCATTTATTAGCAGGTCTCTTCGGCTAGCCTCCCCAGCCTTCGGAACTCGAACCTACATCCAACCACCGTTCAGGCGCACGCGTTTATCCCAGCACTCCACCCGGGGTTGAAATCCTACTCGGAAAACTCCTTATTGCTATTCCAAAGCCATGTCTTGATTACGTTCTTGATTGCTTGATCAGTTAAGATTTCAAAGTGCACAGCAGGGCCAAACAGGTCGAAGTGGGATGGCGTCAGATCACGGCTGTACTTGAGCTTTCCTGTACTGCTAAAGCAAGCAAAGGCGATCCCACATTGATGCCTCGTTCAGCGTCTTTCTGTTGTTCAGTGAGCTCTTTCTGTATTTATCTCGTGAAGACTTTATGCATATCAAGCATATCTGATGATGCCTAGAACTGTTTCGACACAACACTTCACTCTGCAAATGAAAGCAGTCACGCAGATGCTTTGGGTCTCCATACTCAGCTCCCCGACTTTACAGATTGTGACAAATCCAGATAGGCCTGCGGACACAAGTCTACTTGCTCTAGAGTCTAGAACTTTGTCTCTTACACTGCTGTGTTCTTGTTAAAATCGTCGTAGCAACTGTTCGCCAGCAAGCATTGCTAATGGCAATAGCTTCATCAGGGTCAGCTCACTCGTTTTGAGGTGAATTTTGGCTCGCCTGACAAACCGGGGATTTCAAGAACGGAACTCCGCTGCATCAATGTTTTCATGCCGACCGTGTTCGGACAGTGAGCCAAACTCATAAAAACAGTTTCAAAGGT